GTAGTATTCACTGGATAGCGGGAGAGTGTCGTGATACTGCGGGGAGCCGTAGTATTTGTTGTTCAGCGAGAGTGTCATGATACTGCGGGGAGCCGTAGTATTCACTGGTTAGTGAGAGAGTGTTGTGATATTGCGGGGAGCCGTAGCATTCACGAGTCAGTGAGGGGGTGTCGAAAGTCTGCAGGGAGCTATAGCATTCATAAGTAAATAAAAGAGCATTTTAAGACTGAGGGGGGGGGTGGAGGATCGTAGCACTCAGTAGTCGATAAGAGAAAATACTATTCAGTGGAGAGCTGTAGTATTCACTAGTCAGAGTATAACGCAGAGGAGTTCTTAGGCTTGGGTAGCCTTACCACTTGAGTCTTCGGGAACCTGGTTGCCGAACCAGGGGCGAGACTAGGGTCTCCATGTCGGTCAGGAATCATTATATCCCTAGGATGAGGGGGGATTATCGTAACCGGAAGGAATTGCGAGATGGTGTGTGCGTAAATTCATGAATTTTGGGTCATGAGTTGAGTAACAGATTGAAAATGAGTGGTTCCAATTCTGTTGTTGAATCAGACTCTCGATCTTGATTCTAGATCCATTCGTGTATTGGGTAGGCGAGTTAAGGTTTTGGATTCGTGGATGGGTTTCATTTTGAGAGTTCTTGATCTCCATCTGATGTCTTAGACCAGAGTGGGTCAGTTTCGTTGGTATAGGAAGAACCGCGAGACGCATGGAACCAGTATGTGGAAGACGACAGAGGTCGCAGGTTAGACGATTTCAGATGGGGTTGTAGTATTTGCTTAGGGTAAAGTGAACTTCATGACTTGTGTGTCACAAGGAGTCGAGATATTTGATGTGAGAAGAAAGCCGGTAAATCGTTTTATTGGGTGTGCAGTGGGTAACCTTTGGAGGTTCAACTATTAGGTCGGAGTTGACCTGGTGTTTAGTGTTGGAAGGGATAATTAAGGGGGGTTGGGTCTTATGATTAAGGGTGTCAGAGTATTGTTCCGAGCTGGCTTGACCGCTTTCTTGTGTCTAAGGACAGAGTTTTGAGGATCATTCCTTCAGAAGAGTTCTGATAGTTGTTCAGGCGGTGGGTCCTTAGTGGGATATGACCTTTCCGTTCCACTTGAGTTCGATAGGGATCAATTAGAGAATCAGAGTTGGTAGAGTGTTCTTAGAGTCTGTTATTCGATGAGCGATTCACATGATGATATTTTGCGAGGGTGGTCTAGCAGGGAGACAGAACCCTAGAGTTTTTAAGTTCTGGAGAGTCAGATCAAGTACCGCAGCGGCAGAAGGGTCTGTCCTTCTTCAGGCTCGCAAGTTCCTGTTGGGTTCAGGTGCTTTTTGAAGAGATTGTTGTATGATATGACGTCCTTTAGGTGGTGCTCCTCAGGTTATTGGATTCGATCTATATGTGATAAGGAGCAATTTTGAGGGCGAAATCTAATTCAAGTGGGGGAGAATTGTAAGATCCTATTTCAGATCGTTCGTGATTAGGGTTCGTGGGATGCAACCTGGGCATGAGGAAGTCTCAGGGTTAAGACGAGTTGCTAGAGGCGTAGAGCATCTCGTCACCTTTCCGTGGATATGACGTTTATTAGAAACGGAGTTATATCGAGGAAGCTATGGAAGTTTTGGGCAAGATAAGTCCGTAAATTGAAAAAGGTGGCATCGGAGTACGCTGGGCATACGTGTGTGTACGCTTAGCGTACTCATGTGCATGACTTTTAAGCGGAGCCACCTAGTACGCTGGGCATACCAGAGGGTACGTTGGGCGTACTACACACAGAAGGAAAATCCTAATTGAGGGGAGTGTCCCTATATAAAGAATGTGTTGGCCTCATTCCTGGCCACCATCCTCAGTCAATAAACCCTCTCAAACCCTTATCCTCGTTCCTGAGCTTGTGTGTGACAATTGTGAGCTTATAATTGTTCCTGTAGGATTTCTGGAGTGAAGAAGGAGCATGGAAGAGAATAGATTTGGAGTCCAGGATTTGGATCTGAGCTTTTCTGTGGTTGGAGCATTATTTGAAGGTATAAAGCTCAAAGTTTTCCCATCCTTTTGTTTTGTGCATGATATGGTCCATTTTAGGGTTTTTGTTCCAAAGCTTGAAGCTTAATCAGTTGTTGCACTCCAAAGCCTAATATCTGTCCTTTTAAGTGTTTCTAGTGGAGAGGACCCATAAAAATGAGGTCTTGAACATGAGAATCAACCAATGCATGAGATATGAGCATTTTGAGTTAAGAGAGTGAGTTTTGTGTGTTTGTCACCTTATCAGCCATACAAAGGCTTAAAGTTACTGAGTTTATGGAGTAAGAGCCATTAAGTAGTCCAAATCTGGGATTTGAGTTAATGTGTTAACGGGTTAAGACCAAATGAGTAGAAAGAGTGAAATCTGGGAAGTACATTGAGTGTAATTCCAGTATGCCCTGTGTACTGACCCAGTGTCCCCGATGGCCAATCTGGATTCGTGGGTACGTTGAGCATACCAAGGGAGGCACGCCCCACGTAACCTCACTGTGGACTTTTGGGCTAAGTATCATTTTGGGCCTTGAGTGTTGGGCCTGGAGTTTGGGCTTGTTGCAATAGAGTTTTGGACCAGAGGTTTTATATATGTGCTTTGGGCCCTTGAGTTGGGCTTGCCATTTGGATTTGAGAGTTGAGCCTCGGGAGAGCCCATTTATTATCGGGCCTTGGTGAGCCCAATGGTTATTAAGTTATCGATGGGCTGGTTAGTGGGCTACCTTTAGACCTAATGAGTGAGAGTTTGGACTTAGTTCCTACTTGGGATAATTGTGGGTTTGGTTCAGAGTTAGAGGTCGGTGCGTAGCAGCAACGTTTATAGGGGTTGTTCATCATCTGAGGTGAGTCTTCTCACTATACTTACCATGAGTGGTATCTTTGTGTGATAGAGATGTCTTATGTGCTTATCTGTGTATTGTGATATTTTGCATTATGTCTTTGTGATTTATGCTGAGTATTATTATTATGAGCTTATTGAGTTGGGACCGGAGGGTCCACCCAAGTGTGGGACCGGAGGGTCTCCACTGGAACACATCGACCAGAGGGTTGTATTGAGTGAGCCTTGAGTGGCTAACATGATGTGTGTGGTATTTTGGGGAACTCACAAATCTTTGTGCTTACCTTGTTATGTGTTATGTGTTTCAGGTACCTCTCAGGATCACGGAAAGGCGCCGGCTTGATTGTACATACCAGAGAAAGAGTTATGTTTTAAGGATCCTGGATTATTAAATAAATAAATATGGAGTTGTGTTTTATAGGTTAAATAAATGGGATTTTTGTGAAATGTGTTATGAGAATTATGTGATTTTTAAATGAAAATTTTGTTTGAAAATTTACGGTGTTACAGTCGAGACTCTTGAGCATTGAGAAGATGGTCGACTTCGACGCTACTCAAAGAATTCTTTCTTCCTATACCATCCAAGAGCTGTAATGTTGAATTCATCTTGGAATTCAATATTTTGAATTGTTTTCATGACATGATCATTTCATCCGGAATATTCTCCTCCTCTGGATCAAACTGAAGATCAGAAAATCACACCATGACATCTTCATCATCAGCTTCTTTTTCGTGTTGTGACTTTTCAATGGATCGAGATGAGACGAGAGTGGCAATAGGATATTGCATGATACCAGAAAATGTTTGTGAGATAGTCGAAACTGGAACTGAAGTAGGAATGGGTGATGATGGTGGTGGTAAAGTTGTTGATGTTGAAATGATGGATGTTGTTGGTGTTTCTACTGTTGATATCCCTTCATCCATGTTGACATTTGTGTCCATATTAGATAAGTCCATAGTGATGTCTAGAGTTCTGACCTCCTCCTTACCGAACTCGGTAGTCGAAACCCAGATGGTTTGACTAATGCCTTCTCAGGGACATTGGTGTTTTGTTTATCACTCAAATTGATGTTTGTATCCATATCAGATATGTGTACATTGAAGCGAGCTATGTTTTAGTGTTTGACTCGATGTTTGAAACCATTTGTCATAGAGATTCTGGAGAAATTGTTGATAGTTCCATAATTAGAGTTTTGATTTCGATCAAGAATTCTTCAACTCTTGTAAAAACTTGAGCATCCCCCTTCTTCTTGTCTTGAAGACCAACCATATAATCCTTGTTGAAAGAAGAAATTTCTTCAATCAATCTGGTAGTTGCTTCAGCTACCACATCCACCTTCTTATGAAGGGTTGCAGAATTCTCATCAAAATTCTTAACTTCAGAGTTCAATAACATTAGAATATATGTTATTTGAGTTTGTAAAAAGACTTTCGTTTCCTCCAACTGTTTTTCAATAAGCTCATGATGTTCTTTCGAAACATCATGAAGATTAGATATTTCCCCATTAAGACTTTGAGAGTGATTGAGAACTCGTTCATCATTTCGTTTGTCAACATCATCGATTAGATATTTCAGTCGAGACTCTTGAGCTTTTAGAAGATGGTCGACTTCGACGCTACTCAAAGAATTCTTTCTTCCTGTACCAGCCAAGAACTGTAATATCGAATTAATCTTCGAATTCAATATTTTGAATTCTTTTCCTGACATGATCATTTCATCAGCAATATTCTCCTCCTCTGGATCAAACTGAAGATCACAAAATGACACCATGACATCTTCATCATCAGCTTCATTTTCGTGTTGTGACTTTTCAATGGATTGAGATGAGAAGAGAGTGGCAATAGGTTCTTGCATGATACCAGAAAATGTTTGTGAGATAGTTGAAACTGGAACTGAAGTAGGAATGGGTGATGATGGTGGTGGTAAAGTTGCTGATGTTGAAATGATGGATGTTGTTGGTGTTTCGACTGTTGATATCCCTTCATCAATGTTGCAATTTGTGTCCATATTAGATAAGTCTATGATGATGTCTGGAGTTCGGACCTCCTCCTTACCGAACTCGGTAGTTTAAACCCCAGATGGTTTGACTAATGCCTTCTCAGGGACATTGGTGTTTTGTTGATCACTGAAATTGATGTTTGTATTCATATCAAGTATGTGTACATTGAAGCGAGCTCCATTTTAATGTTCAACTTGATGTTCGAAACCATTTGTGATAGAGATTCTAGCGAAATTGTTGATTCTTCCGAAATCAGAGTTTTGATTTCGATCAAGAATTCTTCAACGCTTGTATAAACTTGATCATCCCCCTTCTTCTTGTCTTGAAGACCAACCATATGACTCTTGTTTAAAGAAGAAATGTCTTTAATCAATCTGGTACTTGCTTCAGCTTCCACATCCACCTTCTTATGAAGGGTTGTAGAATTCTCATCAAACTTCTTAACTTTAGAGTTCAATAACATTCGAATATCTGTTATTTGAGTTTGTAAAAATACTTTCGTTTCCTCCAGCTGTTTTGAAATAAGCTCATGATGTTCTTTCGAAACATCACAAAGCATAGAGATTTCACCATTAAGACTTCGAGAATGACTGATTCATCATTTCGTTTGTCAACATTATCGATTAGATCTTTCAGTCGAGATTCTTGAGCTTTGAGAAGATGGTCGACTTCGACGCTACTCAAATAATTCTTGATTCATGTACCAGCCAAGAACTGTAATATCGAATTCATCTCAGAATTCAATATTTTGAATTGTTTTCCTGACATGATCGTTTCATCAGGAATATTCTCCTCCCCTGGATCAAACTGAAGATGAAAAAATGACACCATGACATCTTCACCATCAGCTTCATTTTCGTGTTGTGACTTTTCAATGGATTGAGATGAGAAGAGATTGGAAATAGGATCTTGCATGATACCAGAAAAAGTTCATGAGATAGTCAAAACCGGAACTGAAGTAGGAATTGGTGATGATGGTGGTGGTAAAGTTGTTAATGTTGAAATGATGGATGTTGTTGGTGTTTCAACTGTTGATATCCCTTCATCCATGTTGAAATTTGTGTTGTTATTAGATAAGACCATAGTGATGTCTGGAGTTCCAACCTCCTCCTTACCGAACTCGATAATCGATACCCCAGACGGTTTGACTAATGCCTTCTCAGAGATACTGGTGTTTTGTTGATCACTCAAATTGATGTTTGTATCCATATCAAATATCTGTACATTGAAGCGAGCTCCATTTTAATGTTCGACTCGATGTTCGAAACCATTTGTGATAGAGATTCTGGAGAACTTATTGATTGTGCCGAAATCAATGTTTTGATTTCGGTCAAACATTCTTCAACTCTTGTAAAAACTTGAGCATCCCCCTTCTTTTTGTCTTGAAGACCAACCATATACTTCGTTTTGAAAGAATAAATGTCTTTAATTGTAACGCCCGCAGATTCGGGCTAGTCAATTTAGAGACAATGAGCGTCAAAAATAAATTTTTGATGGAAGATTATTTATAATAAATAATCTTAACCAAATTATAGTATATGTCACAAGGGTTCCGTACATATAAAGAACGCCGAAATCCGAGTTATAACGAAAAAGTTATGACCTGGTGAAATTTTACGGCTAAACCGTCACGACACCGCGTAACGTTAAATTGAATTTTTGATAAACTTCTTTTTAGTTTTAGAGATCTGAATGAAAGTTTTAGTATACGTTAAACCGAGAGCGTGGATAAAAAGAACGTCAAAATCTGACTTCGTATGAGGAAGTAATGAATTTTCTAAGATTTGACACAGCAGTGTGCAGCCCGAAATTTGAAATCGGTCAATTTTTAGCCAAAATAACCTAAACGAGAAATGAAGATATCGTTAATAGGAGTTTAACGATAAAAAGAAAGTCGAAAACCGAGCTCGTATGCGAAAGATATGGACGAATGAAAGTTGTAGTACTCGTATATACCAACGCGTGGACATAAAGAACGTAGAAAACGGATCTCGTACGAGGAAGATACAGATGAAACTTAGGGCCTACTTTATGATCAAACCCCTATAAATAAAGGATGAATTCTTCATATTTTCTTCACACCATAAGCCTTTCTTTCTCTCTCTAACTTCTCTCTAGACTCCCAAAACCCCTCTAAATCCCTAGTAACCTCAAGGTGCTAGAGGAAAGCCCCAGAGCGCCCGAAGGCATCGAGAAAAAGTGCTTTTCGGCTCAGAAGCTCTGCTCCCGTGCAACTCGGTTTTTAGCAAAAGCCGTTGTAAGTGAGATACGCCTACCCTACTTTATATATATCTTATATTTAAATATAATATCGTTATTATGAACCTATAAATAAGATTTATCAGTGATTCAAAGTCGTTATACTGATTGATCTACTTACGGGGATGATGTCTATGTTGTGATTTAGTGAGGTGTTTAAAGTGGCATTTCCAAATAGTATACTTCGTGTACCAAACAGACCCTACCTCCGATATGATACTACTTGGTTGTTCCTTACTTGATAGATCATGAAGTAGACTCTGAGTTAGTGATGAATCTAGACTAATAATTAGTCGCAATAAATATTAGACTAAAATCTAGTGGTAATAATACTAGGTTTCGTCGAAGGAAATTATTTTTAAGAAGCGAAGTGATGTATGAGTTCAGAATCACCACCTTAACAAGTGAGTGCATAGTCCCTTTCATGAACACGATTTTAATACAAGTATTGATTGAAGTATTAAATATATGTTTATGTGTGAAATATTTGATGTTGCCTGAAATACGTGTTAAAGAGCATACCTCATAATATATGATGATTTAGGATAAAGAGTAAACCAAAATTAATTATGAGGAATATTGGGTAGTATCTTCTTTTTAGTATGAGTGAGATATACACGGAGAATAGAACTTTAAGTTATGTCATTGATCCGGGAGAATGGATTAGACATAGTCATTTCTTCCTAGTCCGAGAGTACGGATTGGGTACAGTCATTTGTCATTAATCCGGGAGCATGGATTAAGACATACTCAGTTGTCCTTAGTCCGAGAGTATGGATAGGACATATTTATTTGTCATTAATCTGGGAGTATGGATTTAGACATAGACAATTGTCCCTAGTCCGAGAGTATGGAATGGGCATAGTTATTGATCCAAGAGTATGGATAAGATCTGGGAGTATGGATTAAGTAAAAAGGCAAATCTTAGATCCGAAAATATGGATAGTGTCGTTGAGTGGATTGACGGGGTGGGGTAAGAGTTGTTTATACATGGTGAAATTGTATACTTGTGACTTCTATATATAGATATATATATATATATATATATTATATATATATATATCTATATATATATATATATATATATATATATATATATATATATATATATATATATATATATATATATATATATATATATATGATATAACATTGTGGGATTGAAATCCCAATGTACTCACCAGGTTTCCTAACCTGACCCACTCAGTTTATTTTGTATCAAAGGTGTCTATATGAAGCTACATTACACTGAGAGACTAAGGAGATATAGATCAGTAGTGTAAATGAATGTATGGTCTGTTTATGCTTATGTTCTGTATTGACGATGACATCCCAACATTTTAAAAGGAATAAAATACATTTCTTCGGAAATGCTTTGATAACATATTTATCATGTTTTTCTGGGAACAAATCCCGCAACATATTTCTTTAAAAGATACTCTGATTTTCAAAATAAAGCATAAACAAATCGGTATTTTCTGGCCGTAAAAATGGGGATGTCACAAATTGTATCAGAGCATTAATTTAAGCGAACTAGGAATAAGGATTATTTCTAGACTTAAACTTAGAATGCTAAGCAATGATTGTGAATTGAGTGTGTCTAATATATTTTAAGTAGTAAACCTGAATAGACACAAGCACTAGCTTATTTAGGGAAGATGCCTAAGATGCTTTTATGTGTTAATGATTTGTGATGCTTTATGATACTATTGTTTAATCGGATCTATGGTCTGTTGCCGACCAGATCTGGAAATTTTATGTGTTCAGATTTCTAAACGTTAATTACGGTATTAGAGTTGGCATGTAACTTTTCCGGGTGATAGGGAGATTTACACGTCGATCGTTAATAAAATATTTCCTATATTAATTCTCATCATTACACACCGAACGTCTGATTTGGTGTATAGATCAAAATGACAAGGACCTGAAGCGGAGTTGGAAACGCGAATGGAAACAGGAATCAACAACCTCAACCCCAAGTGATTGAGCAAGTACCTGTCGTAGCAGCTGTACCTGAGCCAATCACGATGGCCGGAGTGAAAGCGATGATCTAGATGATGTTGGATCGTCAAATGGAAGAAACAAGGCGTTTGCTTCAACAGAATCGGGATGAACCTACGGTGCCTGTTGAACAGCCCGAGCTGAATGAAGAATTGTCAGAGGAGGGAAATTACAGTCGTACGATGAGTCAAGTTGGACCTCGAGTGGTCAGGAGAAACGACCCGGACAGAAGGATTGACATGGATGGGCGCATGTATAAGAATTTCTTGGGTGCCAAGCCACCGAGTCTTTCTAGAAGCCCGAAGCCTGTAGAGATCATGGACTGGATCTCCGAGATGGAAATGGTATTTGAAAGCTGCAACTGCATCGATAAGCAAAAGACCGTCTTTGCAGTTAGAAAACTGAAGACCAGAGTTTTAAGTTGGTGGAAGTTGTTGGAAGATACAATGCCACGGGGAGAAGCCCTGAGAATGTCTTGGAAAGCATTCATGGAGCAGTTAAAAATGCAATATTGCTCCGAAATAGATCTGATAGACCTAAACAATGAGATTCAGAACCTGAGGAAAGGGAAGATGAGTGTGGATGAGTATGCCACCGCATTCACTGAGAAGATGAAGCTATTTCCCTACTTGGTGCCTACTGAACTCTCAAAGATAGATAGGTTTGCTAACGGGTTTCCAGCAGACTTTGGTGCAATAGTAAAAATGACAACTACCTTGAAGACAACCGTTAGAGCAGCCAAGAATGTGGAGATCCAACTTAAGGAAAAGGGTTTGGAAAGAGTTGAGGTAGGCGAGAAGAGCAAGTTTGAGGGATCCTCAAGATCCGAAAAGAGAAATAAGTCCCCAAAGACTGACCCCAACAACAAGAGATATGGGGATAGTAATGAAGAAAGGTGGTGTGAAAAATGCAGAAGGAAACACACCGGGAGATGTCCTAAAGAGGTAACCTGCTTCAAATACGGGAGGACTGGTCACCCACGAATGCACAACCTAGAGAGAAGTCTGCTTTAAGTGTGGTAAAGAAGGATACTTCAAGCAAGATTGTCCGAATAGGGAAGGGGCTACAAAGCAAAATGTGCAGCCAAATTCGAAGGCAAGAGCAGTCCATATGATCCTTGAAGAAGCACCTGACATTGCAAGGAATCAGGAGTGTGGACCGATATCCGAAGATCAAGTTATGACGTTGCCATGCGGATGGTATCATGTGGCGTAGCTTATTAGAAGCATAGTATAGGATGAAATTTAACATATATGTAATCGTTTTGAGAAATAATATCAACTTTGGTTATGTTATCTG